AACTGGTCTCACAATATTGACCATGGTATTAAAATAATTTGCTTTTCATATAAAATTGTTGTCCACTTTACATAATACATGACCAGAAACTCATTCATGACTAAGAATACTCTTGCTGGTTTTCTTGTTTATTTTTGGTTTTTGCCTTTTTTTCCCTTCATAAATCTTCCTCTGCCTGAATTTTCTTCTTTCTTTCTTTCTTTCTTATCTTATCATCTCTCCCTACTGGTGATGTTACCTTCTCTATAAGGTGACACCCACCTCAGCCTGAATTTTCTTCTCTGACTTTTTCTTTTCTCTTTTATAATGGTATGGGCTTCCATTGTATAAAATTTGAAAACTAATTTAAAATAAAAAACCATATTTCTGGAATATAACTCCTTGTAATACTTTAGTGTTCTCAGAAATGTGTATGTTGAGTTTCTCTAAGATTCACCTAAACCTCTTCTTGTTTTCCCCGACACAGTGTCTCTGGGCAGTGTGATCATTCGTGAGAGCTGCATGCAGCAAGTGTCTTAGCTTGATTCAGAGTTTCTCTCTCCAAGCCAGATGTTTTTAATGATAGAGAATGCGTGTGTGTATCACCCCCCCACACACACACACACACAGTTCTCCTCTGGATATTCCATAGGCATCTCAAAATTAAGTTGGCATCTCTACCAGTGTGATTTTTCATGAATTTCCTCAGGGATTAACTCACTCACTTCATTGAATATACATCTCCTCCTTTTTAGCACTTCCTGAATAATAGGAAATATTCATTCTACTGACAAAGTAATAAAGTATTGTATCATTTAAAAGTTTAATTCTGTAATATTTGATTAGAACATTGGGTGTGCAGATATAAACAAGCTTGTTTTAGAAGCCTACCCACCTTACCCCTGACCATTTATACTGTCACTCCCCTTAGACCCACTGGAGAAAAATGTACTTTTTGTGCTGATCTGTTTTTGCAAGTCTGTTTTTCCCTGTCTCCTTGGCATAGCAGTGGGTGTACTATGCTTTTGCTATCTCCAAAACTGCAAGCAAACACATTTTATTGTAATATACAGCTCATTTCTTGTACAGAGATGGCTTTGCAGGAAGAACTCCCAGCACCAGGTCTGGGGGTTTGCAGGACACCCTCCAGGTCGCCCCCAGGACCTCTCTGGGGAGCCGCACCAGAAGGTTTCTAAAGGATGTACCTCCATCTTGGTTTTGGACTCAAACATTTTCAGAACTACAGCACACTCTTTCCTGTCCCCTTCAGCTCCTTGTCCTACCATCATCATCAGAGTGACCCGTGCTGGGTACACGGAGGACCTCAAGTAGGAGCTGGAGGTCAGCTCAGGTGCCTCTGCTTTCCTGAGCCTTTTCACAAAATCACTCACTAATTCAAGTGAAGTCTCTCATCATAGTCTTCTTAGGTAACTTCAACCCAAGTTCCAGTTGTGGCTCTCATACATCCTATGCAGAATCTTTGCATAGCCCCTTACTGACTTCCCGGTCTGCCAGATCCTTTCCCACTTATTTCTTCTCCTTCCAGAAAAATCTTTCTCATATTCAAATGTGATATATCCCTTCCACTATGGATCTACTTGTGTCCCCCCAAATTCCTGTCCAAGCCCTTGTTAGGTCTGACTTATCCTTTAGAAAGTGTCCATGTATCCATCACCTAACAGTTTTAGCAACTCTGGATGATTGCAAATTATATACATATATGTATCTGTTAGTTTATAATGAATTTTCAAATTGTATATACTTGGTTTATTCTTTTACTTCTTGAGGTAGACCTACTCTGGGATCTCAAGTTGAGTCCTTGATAGTCTCACTTCAAAAAAAAAAAAAATAAAGTTCTTTGTGGGTGGGACTTTCCTTACCACCCTGGAACTGTCAGTTTGGTTTCAAAAGTAAGGACAACACACACGAAATTCTAAAGACAGCCACAAAAACCGGACGCCAGAGATAACCTCAGTTATGAAGAGTTGGAAGAACCGGACACACCACAGTCAATTCATCTCCTTTAGCAAATGCAGAATCAACCCGTAGAGCAGGAAACCATGGCGGAGAAGGAGGAGAGGGGGAGCCAAGCGGTCACTGTGGGTTTGGGGTGTAAGAGTGGGAGCGTTTCCTTCTCTCCAGAGGGAGGAGAGAGCAGAGGGTCCTGTCCTGTCTCCAGGACACTGGGCCCCGCTCCTGCGGCCTGCTACCCCACCCAGGCCCGAGGCAGTGCAAGACCTGCAGCCCCTGCTCCCTGCTGCACGGCTGGGTGGGCGCCGGTGGGCAAACGCAGGGCCATGTTTAGCAATCAAATTTCATAGAAAGTGCTGCACCTGTTTAAGGTGTTGTTATTATGGGATGTTCTACCAGGCAGGAAAGGGAGATTTGCTTAACACTTTGGGAAGAGTGATTAGAGAAAAAAATTAGAGCTGTCCTGTGTACAAGGTACCCAGTCGAGACAATTCAGCAAACTTCTTGCTGAGTTTAGCCACTTCCACACACGCCCAAGGGGGAGTGGAATAACGTGGCTCAGACCAGCTCCTTGAGAGTTCAGCTGGTATAAGTATTACCTGTGCACTTGTCATATACATCACCTATCTTCAAATTAATATGAAGGCATTACAGGTTTATTTTTTTTTTTTTTGATCGAGCACAGTGTAGAACAGAAGATCTCTCCTAATCCTCCAAAAATTAAGAAAGCAAAAAAGAAGAATTAAGTTTAGAAGAAATAAATGTTTATAGCTTTGAAAAAAATGTAAAACATATCCTAGGAAAATTTCAAATTTTCTGTATTTTTAAGTCTGTACTGCAGATCAGCGTATGTAGGATGATGAACACTTATTACCCAAATGGTGAAGGAGCTATATACAACAGCTTCAGGTATTCTTGTTGAACAATGAGGAATTCTTCCTGAGAACCATCCTCTTCTGTGAGCCCGAGCGGTGAGAAATCACTCTAAAAGGGTCAAGTTACATTTCCATCCCCAGTACGTACAGACTAATGACCACACTGAGTCTTTGCGGCGACGGCAGTTCCTGAGGTTGGCCAAAGTGACTGTGAAGAAGCTCCATGTCCTGGTATAGAGAATGCATAAGTGTTTGGGTTGATTTCCAAGTGAAGGACATAGGTAATTTTTGCCTAAATTTCTGATCAGGGTTCCTCTCTTACAATTTTGTGATTTACTTGTAACTCCAGATGGAAATCTGATTGATTAAGTGGTTTCTGGTTAATTGGGCTTTCACCGTATGGCAGCCTGCGTCTGCGGCAGGGCGTGTGCCGCCCCAGGTTCATGCCTCGCGGGAAGGACAGTCCTTGCTTGATGGCTTGGGAGGAGCCACGGTGACAAAGAGCCAGCAATAGAGAGTGTCTACAGATAGAAAAATTACTTCTCTTCCCTCCTACCAGTCAATTTTTTGGTTCTTTGTTCAGCATAAAATGAAAGGCCCACTGGCCGGGTGGCATGGTCCATTCAGAATATTCTTCAATACACGAAAGGGAAAATGTAGGGGCTTCGGTGGTGAGTTATTTGTGCTCCCTTCTCCTTAGTTCCCCTCCAGATATGAAATAAAATTAGAGTAATGGACATAATTAACTCCGAGTCTCATCTCAGAAGGATAATTTATTACCAGGTTAAAACCCCTTGAACCAGAACTCTAAGTGATTTGTAGTGATTATTATACAACACTTGCACAATTTTGCTGACCTAGTTTTCTTTTTGAAAAAGCAGGGAAGAAACTAAATTATGGAATAAAAATGAGCCTTCCCTACTTCCCTGATGGAACTGGCTTTGTCAGGCTGTTTGTTAAAACCACCTTAAAATTATTGCGTCCTTAACTCTTCGACTGTGTCAAGGTGACTAAGGTTTTAGCACCTTTGGCCTTTCCCATGGTGTTAAGAACGCCTCTGAAGAAATGGGTTAACCAGATGTATTATCTGCTTGACCAAGTTAAGCCGAGTAACCTGTAATCTTTGTCCTCAAGAGGACTGTGCTCAGGCGGACAGGTGAGAGGCCAGAAAACAAATTTAGAAATGATATGACATTCAGAATATTACATGTATACCTGATCACATCTATACAGGAATAAAACTAAATACAAATTCTGCTGGGTCCATTTCTTTCAAGTGCAGAGCTAAATTGCCAAGCGAGGCTAAGGTAAGAACATTGAATAATAGCACAATGACAAGTTGGGGAGACCAGATCGAATTCTGAGAAACTGAGTAACAGCATATATTTAAACAGCAATGTGAAACAAATAACAAGGTCAAGCAAATCCACATACTGGGAGACGACGACGACAGGCAGCCAGTGCAGGGAGTGGGTTCTATGCAGAGAGAGTTCAAAGACAATGCAAAATGAGGATCTTACGGGAAGGCGTTATGAGGGTGGCCTTGGCCTTGGGCTGGAATGTGTTCCCCCAAAGGGCATGCTTGGTGCTGGATTTGGGTTGTACATGGGACTCAATGGCTTTATAATCGAGCATGTTCTTTTACTATATTGGGTGTGCTGCTCCTGCCAACTTCCGTTCTCATCAGGGGCAGGTGAGGGTACTCATGCCAATCCCTGTGATTGGAGCTGTTTGTATTCCATGTCAATGATTATTTGGAGAACTCTAGAATTAAAAGCTGCAAATTGAAGTCCCTCTTCCCCCTTTAACATAATTAACTCTAATTATATAACTAATTTGAATTTTATTGCAAAACTTTTCAGTGCAACTATTCAGAAGGGAATGATTATCAGCTAAGACAGAAAAGGGTAATAATAACAATAATAAAAATTCATCAGGGAATCTTTAAGCATATTTTTTCAAGCTTTTCTCTGTAAGAAAAGAGAGAATAATTCCACTAATAGAGCCTCTATGGTTTGCTCTTCACAGAATGTAAATGTCCTGATAGTAGTTGGAAGGAAGATGAAAGAACTAGATTTGCTGTGTTTCCAAATGTGCTCATATTTCTATTTCTTGTCAGGTTTGTCCTATTTCAGAGGTGAAGACAATTCTTTGCTTAACTCCCTTTCTGTTCAGATCAATAGCAAACTGGTAACAGACGTCTACGAGGCACTGAATGTCGGAGCGACTGCTGACAAATCAACATCTCCAGCTTAATGACCTGCCAGATTAAACACTGCTAAGAATCTGATGTTTTCTGGCATATTGGATCTTGAAAACCAAAGCGAAAGATTTTCTTTGAACCCCGCAGAGAGCACACAGCCGATGGAATATACCAATAAACCATTTGCATAAATATTTTGTTCAAACCTGTGCAGACAGACAGTGTCATCCTTTTCCTAGGGATGTGAGAGTGATGCATTAGTGGGGTAGATGGTGTTTGAGGACAGGGCCCTGATGTCCCAAGTGCACCCCGTGTATGGTTTGGGGTCTGTCGACCGGTCTCTAGGGAGTTGTGTCTGGTGTTTTGTAATCTTCATGCTGAGAATGATTAAGGAGCCTTTTCTGTCTGCAGTGAAGTTACATATGATTTCCTACATTCCTTAGCAGCGAATGCCTGAACCACTTTCCTCTAAGAAATTTGTTTAATGCACACAACAAAAATGTATTTCCTCATCCCTTGTGTAATTAGTATTATGTTATTTCAAGTGAAATACGTATCTTGCCAAAAATGAAGTATTGCTTTATTCTTATCTTATAAGCTTTGACATTTTCAGTGGAAAGAGACAATTTTTTCCCATTTAGTAACCAAATTTTTTCTTACCCTCTGACAAATTCATGGAAAAATCAAAATGTATGCATTTCTTATATTATCCTTATATATATATATGTATATATATATTGCATAAATGAATATTATTTGACATAAATCTAAAGCCATTTTCTCAGGCATATTTGTTTTTTCTTTATTTGTCCCACTATATGAAAAAATATTTTGGTGGAGTGATCCTAATCACTTTCACATAACCTCTGAGTTAGAGACCTTCAGATGGCATTTACCTATTGTTCATTCACTTATTATCTAATGATCTTTACAAACATCCATGTGTCTTGCTCATAAATGAGAAGTAAAGCAAACCAGAACTGTAAGTAGTATGTGAGGACTGAGATCTTTTGACGTTGGAAAAACAAAAGAAAAAAACAAAAAACTCCCAAATAACAAAAACTAAAAAAACCCATATATTTTTATGTAGTCATTAAATTTTGAAACCCATCATTCTGCCCCCACCTCTAATGGTGTGGTTTGTAGTTAGGCAGGTTGTATATGCACGGTTTTACACACACACACACACACACACACACATACGCGCGCACACCCCCCCCCCAGAGAAAAGCATTGGCCCAACATGACTCTTAAGCTTTTCTTTCTTTTTTTCCTTCTGCCATTCAAAACCCAAGTCACTCTAAAGTTATTAAAGCAGAGTCTCCAGGTGAGGATGTTCTCTGGAATTTATACACATTTTTAATTTAATTCTTTTTTACATTAATGAAAAGCAGAAGCTTCAATTAATAAAAGTATTTCAAAATTACCATTGTGAGACAACATCATTGCTTTCCCTTCAACACATATGATGCGGTTCAACATAAAGACCGCACAAAAGCATTCAGACCTCACTAAAACCCTTTCTGCACAACTTGGCCAGTGTCCGACCAGGGCAAGTTGTTTCTGACTTCCAATTCTTAGATTCTTTACTTGTAAAATGCAGATATAACACTATATTCTATTTATCAGGAGAATTGACCAACTCAAGGTAATGAAATAACATGTTCTACCACATGGAAGGTATTGAATAATGGGTACTTCTTTAACGTTATTGTTTTATCATTTAGTCATGATGACTCACATGTAAATCTCTCTTGGGAAGTAACACAGGTAACATGAACAAAACGCACCTGGAGAGCTCATTGTTTAACAGAAGACACAACCATCCAAGTAACTAATGTATTGTGAGATGTGAACTGGGCTTTGGTGAAATAATCTCATTATGTATGAGGTGATATAATCTGAAAATATGTCATATGAAAAATTTAAAAAGATAGTGTTGGACAAAATAACATTGAAACTGTTTTTAGAAATTGATTTAAACCTTAATGATGCTTTTGGCTATTCGGGCTCTTTTCTGGTTCCACATGAAGTGTAGAATTATTTTTTATAGATCTGTGAAATATGCCCTCGATATTTTGATGGGGATGTACATCACTTCGGATAACATGGCAAGGTTGACTGTACCAACCCATGAGCATGATATGCTTTTCCATTTGCTTGTGTCATCTGCGATTTTTTTCCTCAGTGTTTCATAACTCTCTTTGTAGACATCTTTCACCTCCTTGATTAAGTATACTCCTAGATATTTTATTTTCTTTGTAGCTATCACGAAAGGTATTGAATGAGTCTTTGATTTGACTCAGTTTGACTGTTATTTGTGTATAGGAATACTACTGATTGATTAGGTTACATTGATTTTGTAACCTGAGGCTTTGCTGAATTTGTTTATCAATTCCAGGAGTGTTTGGGGTTTTCTAGATATAAGATCATATCACCAGGAAAAAGTTTTATCTCCTCTTTCCCAATTTTAATACTGTTTATTTCTTTCTCTTGCCTGATTGCTCTGGCTAGGACTTCCAGCACTATATTGAATATAAGTGGTGACAGTAAGCACCCTTGTCTTGTTCCCATTTTTAATGGGAGGGCTTTCAACTTTTCCACATTCAGTATGATGTTGGCTGTGGGTTTTTCATATATGGCTTTTATAATCTTGAGATATGTTCCTTTTTTGCCTAACTTTTTGAAGGCTTTTATTATGAAAGGGTCCTGAATTTTGCCAAATGCTTTTCTGCATCTATTGAGATGATCATATGGTTTTTGTTTTTGCCTCTGTTTATGTAATGAATCACATTTATTGATTTATGTATGTTGAACCATCCTTGCATCCCTGGGATGGAACCCATTTGGTCATGATGGATTATTTTTTCATATGCTACTGAATTCGGTATGTTAGTATTTTATTGAAGATTTTTACATCTATATTCATAAGGAATATTGGTCTGTAGTTTTGTTGTTATTGTTGCTGTTGATGTGTACTTTTCTGGTTTTGGTATCAAGGTGATACTGGCTTTGTAGAAAGAGTTGGTGAGGATTACCTCCTTTTCAATGTTATGGGATAATTTCTGCAGTATTGGTACCAGCTCTTCTTTGTAGGTTTGGTAAAATTTGGCTGTGAATCCATCTGGTCCAGGGCTTTATTTTGTTGCAAGATTTTTTTTATTACTGCTTCAATCCTCTTGCTTGTTATCGGTCTGTTCTGGAGTTCTATTTCTTCCTAACTGAGTCTTGAGAGGTTGTGCATTTCCAGTAATTTGTCCATTTCCTCTACAGTTTCTAGGTTATGTGCATAGAGAATTTCATAATACTCATAGATGATATTTTTATATCTGTGGTATCAGTTGTATTATTTCCTTTTTCATTTCTGATTGAGCTTATTTTGGTCCTTCATTTTCTATTCCTGGTTAATTTAGCAAGAGGTCTATCAGTTTTGTTTCTATTTTCAAAGAACCTACTTTCTGTTTTATTGATCCTTTGTATTTTTGTGTGTGTGTTCCATTTCATTTAGTTCTGCTCTGACCCTAGTTATTTCTTTTCTTCTGCTGGCTTTGGGTTTGTTCTTCTTTTTCTAGTTCCTTGAGATATGATATTAGATTGTTAATTTGTGATCTTTCTGTCTTTTTGATGAAGGCATTTAAAGCTATGAATTCCACCCACTGTCCTCTCCCGGTGCTACCACAGCACTTGTTAAATAACAGAGCTTTGAATGCATGTTAAGTTCATTTGCTTTTCCATTGTATCATCTTCCAATAAAACAAGTACAATGTTGCCATTGCTACACATCCTCGAACCTTACACAATCTGCCTATATACCTGCAAAGTGGATTTCAACATCAACGAAAGTGAAGTTTCTCAAGTTGTTTATTTTTCCTGTACTTCTTGATTGTTACACTAAAATAGTTACAAATTGGTAGGTGAAATGAATGGTCATATACATAGTCTCACAGGCTTGGGTTAAAAAAACAAAACAAACCATCAATAAAAGAAAAAAATACTTTGATTTCATCTAGTCCAAGCTGTTTTATTTAGGTGGGAGTATATTGATTCCATCATTAATTAAAAGGTATTGAATCAAATTGAATTAAAACCTTCTAAAATTCTTTAGGAATCCATTGCATTCCTGTGTCCCTGTTTTCAATATTTTCTGACTCAGCAGAAACACAACTGAGTGATCACAGACCCTGGACATTTAAGTACTTCAACAGAAATTGTTACAAAAAGCACCAGGATACAATGAAATCAATGTTTCATGTACTGTTTAATTGTAACATCTAAATGAGCATTTAGTGTGCTGTGTTCTCCTACTTTTGAATCAAATCAGTACAGATTAGATTATTTGTATTCTTTTCAGTTAATGGAAATGTCAAAGGAACCTCCAAATGTAAATGAAAATTCTCCCACTCCCTGTGCTGTGCTGTAGGATTTTCACTCAGTGCTGAAACCAGTGATTCTTGGAAGACCCTCCTTTTTATTCTTTTGACCTTTCAGATAGCCTACCACTGCCCTTTTAATTTATATTTCTGCAAGCTACTGTTATTATTCCTATTACATTTTTTCTTACCAACCTCCATCATGTCTATTCTGCAAAGTGCACTTGTGAAAGATTTAGCGTCCAGTGGTGGCCCGTGGAAACATTTTGAATCAAAGTACCATCATTTCTTCTTTGGCAATCTCCCATTCTTCAGGTTTAAGAAATGGTGAGTTTTCCCATCTTCAGCACCTTATAGAGTTAACACCGGATTTAAAAAGTCCTGATGTTAATTTTGCTTTTGTTGTCATGCATCTGTGGTTAATGATAATAATTAATCTTTGTATTGCAGTAATCTTTTTAAGGAGGTTAGGAAAATGGTGTGTGCAGCAAACAAGTGTAAAACAATGAAGCACAAAGGGCTCTCTCGCATGTCAAACTGTGTGAAGATATTGAGGGATGTCAGAAGCGAATTAGCCCGTGAGCTGTGTCTCCGCCACCAGTGCCCCCTCACGGGGTGTAGGGAAAGGACACACTTCCAGGACAAAAATACTTCCGCTGAGAACTGTCTGAATACAAAAACTCGCCCACTTACATGTGGTATCTTGCCTTATCGCGTCTGAACAGACCTTGGAGTTTGAAAGGGTTTAGAAATTTGCTTAACTTGCCATTTCCTGACATAATGAGGAAATCAATGCGTCTTGCCTTTCCAAGTGCTTGTGAGTCCAGAATAATTCAGCA